ATTTCTGCAATTCTCTGGTCGGTTCAAAGCAGCCAATTTAGTTTTCAAGGAAGTGATTCTGTGCACTCACATTTCATCAGTTTGTGTACTATTTAATTGAATTATGTGCTAATAGGATTATGGGATTATAGGATTACAAAGACAAGTATACCTGGCTGAAACAAGGCGAGAGATCCAGCTGACTCTTGGTAAACAGGCAGCCCGACACCTGACACCTGACACGGGGGGGGCGGGGTGGGGGGTGGGGGATGGGGAGAACCTGAAGTACCTGATCTTTGAGACCTGGGGTCAGCACGCTGTGGTTCTCTGAACCTGTTTTTGTACATCCTGAGACAAATGGTTTTACGACGGATGGTTTTATATCTTTAAATGGTTGGAAAATATCAAAAGGAGAATATTTTATGGCCTGAAACAGATGTGAAATGCAATCTTTGATATCCACCAGTAAAATCTCACGGGGATGCAGCCACGCCCCTTCTTTGTTTGTTTGTTTGCACAGTTCTATGGCGGCTTCTGTGCCACAGTAGCCAAGGTGAATGGCGGAACAGAGACTAAAATATTTACTGTTTGGTCCTTTACAGAAAGGCTTGGCTGATACCCGTTCTAGAGAGAAGCCTGAACCTTGGGATTGCACCAGGCCACAGGTATCTGTCACCGCGATTTCCAGAAGAACGGAGGACTTGCGGTAAGGGAAGCTTCTCTAGGAGAACTCCGGTCATCCGAAGCGAAAATCCTTTCTTTCTTGGCATTTCTGCCTCCCAAAGCTGCCCCCTAGGTAAAACCAGGATCCATGGTGTGACAGTTTGAACCATTTCTTATTGACCTCACTCAGTCACCCACGGTCCCCGTCGTCCGTCACAGGGCTTTGTACACAGTGACAGATCACGAGAAGGATAGAGGGTGGCCCTGTCTGTTCCCCTGCCATTAATCTAAGCAGATGACAAAGCTTCCTTGAACGCAGCTGATATCCTTCCGGACAGGCGCTATTGCTCCGTGGTGTCAATGGGTTATTCCTCATTCTCTGCTTCACTCCGTGCAAATGACCAGTGTTTTTAGGCAACAGAACATTTGTACCCATGACAAAATGAACAGGCTTGCATTTCGGGACGCGCCATCATGGTAGCCAATATTTTCCTGGGCTGTGGCTGGGAATCAAGGTGGCATAGAGAGTTTCACATGGGCTAATAAACACGCAGCCTTAACCATCGGAGAGCAGAGCAGACTGATCCGCTGCCTAACCACCACTGACATCCATCGATTTTCCACTGTCTCCTCCAGGGGACTTTTTCCTAGCTAGATGCAAGACTCAGTACTGTCTGGACATAACCGGGCATTGTCCTTAGGAGACACATGTGTGAGATATCTGCACCTGTGAAGAGTGTGTGTGTGTGTGTGTGTGTGTGTGTGTGTGTCTGGGCCACCATCATGTCTTGGCTGGATTACTGCAGTGGGTTCCTAACTGGCTTCTCTGGTTCTGACCTTGCCCTCCTACAGTCTTCTCTCAACATAGCAGCCGGGATGCTTCCTTTAAAACCCAAGTCAGGGGGCCCCTGGCTGGCTCAGTTGGTGGAGCAGGTGACTCTTGGTCTCAGGGTTGTGGGTTTGAGCTGCACATTGGGTGTTGAGATTACTTAAAAAAATAAAATCTTTAAAATAAATGAAAAAAAAAAAAAACCACCTAAGTCCCACCATGTCACTTCTTGGACCGAAGCTCTCGTGTCTTTCTGAGCAAAAGCCAAAGTCCTCATAGCAACCTAGGAGGCCCTACATGGTCCAGTCCCCTGATGCCTCCCTGATCCTCTCCTTCTCACTGACCCCACTGGTCACTCCACTCCGACCACATGGACCTCCTTGCCATCCTCAAACTGTGAAGCTCACTCCTTCCTCAGGTCCTTTGCACTTGCTCTTTCCCCTGCCTGGAACATTCTTCCCAACATAGCCTCATGGTTTGCTTCCTCACTTCCTTCAAATGCCGTCTCATAAGTGAGGCCTTCCTCAACCACCCAACATAAAATAAGTCCCACACACCGCAGTACTCTTTCTGCCTTACCCTGACTTTTCTCCATAGTACTTATCATAATCAGACATACTACATGCTTTCTTGATTGATTTTCTATTTCTTGCCATTTCTTACCCGTGCCATTAGAATGTAAGTTCCACGAGGGCAAGGATTTTGCCCCTTTGTTCGCGGCTCTGTGTTCTGTGCTTAATATAGTGCCTAGGAGAGTAGGGGCTTAATAATTGCCACGTGGCAACCTGCTGTCCACAGAACCTTCGGCATGAGGCCTTGTTGAGGGTAGAAGGCAGTGGCCTAGCCCTGCCCAGTGCATGGTATATCAAAGAGAGCCCTTGTGTGTGGGAAGTGGGGGACAGTGGGCAGGCAGTGGGGTGGGGGAGAGAATGCTAAGCCGCTGGGGATGTGTGCCATGGGTCATCCTATCTTGATGAGTGGCCCTGGAGCCCCCCTGGGCAAGGGGAATGCTTAGCTGGGGTCCAAGTTCCTGGCCTCCCTTACTAGGTGTTCTGAGAATGGGGATCAAGGGCAAGGGCGCCCACGTGATTCTGTCCCCCTTGCTCTTTGAGGACAAGTTGGAGGCAGGTGCTGGTCCCAAGTCTACAACAACAATTAATTTGAAGTTTCTTCTTTCACAGATATCAGCCCCCCTACCTCCCAAACATGTCTAATAGCAACTGAGTCATGGGTCAATGATGGTGGCGGGTACGTGGGTGGGGGGTAACTGAGTCCATTGACCGAGGGCCGAGACGTCATCCCCACTAATGAACAAGTTAATAAAGTCTTCAATGAGGAGGTGGTGATTAATGAACCAATCAGCTTGCCCTGTAATTGGGAAGTGGAGCTGAAGGGCGGGGTGGGCCCGTGGGAGGTTTGTAGGCTGTGGTGCACCGGCTGCTGTCCCTCTCACAGTCATTCTAAAGGCAAAGAGGGAAACGACTACTTTAGGGGCTGTACCTTGAACCCAGGCCTTCCCCCATACCTTCTGGCTTCTCTACTGTTTCTCCTCTGCTCCCATCTGTCCTCAGAACCCCTCCCCCAACTCTCTGAGGAAGGAGAGGCCACCAATTCCCTTTGGGCTCTTCGCGATCACTGTCCTCTCTCTCTGCCTGGGATCAGTACACCAGAAACCCCTGTCATGACCTCAGCCAAGGCTGCAGAAGAGCAAATGGCTCCCACTCTTGGACATCCTTGTTCCCGTTAGCCTGCAGGGGTCCTTATCTAGACTCCGACCCCTGGGATTACAGCTGTTCCAACCAGCTCCCTGGCTGTTGTCCTGCCGTCTGCTCCCCCAACTGGACCCAGACTTGTCCCTCTGTTTTCCTCTCTATCTCTGTGTCCTGGCAACTCTCCAGACGGGCTCTGCAAGGAGGGTGCTGTGCCTCCTCCCTTAGGATGGAGCTCCCTGGTGATACGGCTTTGTCCCTCCCCTCACACTGGGGATCCCCAAGGGTATGGCCACGACTGTCCTCTGAGACTGGGGGTCCTGGGGAACAGGGCTATGCACCTGCCCTCAGGTGAATGATTTTTCTCCTCCCTCTGGGTATAGAGGCAGGTCCCCTCTTCTGCCTTCATGCTCAGCGTGCTGCCCTGGCCTTTCCTGGGATATGCAGGGCCCATGGGCCCGACTGGTTGATAAGGCGCCATTTCCGGAGAGTGCAGGTGATTGAACCTATAAAAAGGTGATTGAGGGAGCCCAATTCTCCACCTTGAGAGAGCTCTAAAAATAACACCCACAGCCATCTGTCCTGGGGGGTGGAGGGGCTGGCGCAGGAACAAGATGGCGCCTCCTGTCCTCAGGGGCTGATGGGACACAGGGAAGCCCTGGAGGCTCTGGCCAGGCTGGGAGAAAGGGAGCTGGAAAGGGCTTTATGGGGAGACTCCCCAACAGCCCTCTTTTCCCAGTGGGAACAGGTGGGCCTGTTGTGGTTGACCTCTCAGAGAGGGTAGCAGGCCCCCAAATTAGATTCCCCTCCCCTGCTCCCATGCCCGACTTCTGAGCTCCATGGTTATTTCTGGTAGTGAGCCATTCTGCCCCTCAGTGGAGAGGGCCTCTTCCTGGGGTCTGCCCCAGCGCTTTTCTCTTGTTCGAATCCTGGGTTTCCTCCTCTCTCAGACCTTCAGTTACCTCATCTGTAAAATGGGTATAAACTCAGCTCATTGGGTTGTGCTTCGATCCTGTATGGCCTGTGCACAGTAAGTGCCTAATAAATAGAGTCCCTTCCTCTTTCTTTCAAAGGCCCTGGGTGAGGATCTTTGCCCCAGAACCCAGTGGAGACTGAAATGGCCTGGGGACAGTGGGCTTGGGTCTGTGCGTGTCAGGCTGGATGCACAGGTGGCCGACTCAGGTGCTTCTGGGAGTGGGGACTGGCCTCTGCCTCCTTTTGGCCCTCTCCCCAGATCTTTATCAGGGAAGGGACATAGTGGGGTGTGCAGACAGACCTGTCCCCTAGGACATCATAAACAGCACATCAAGAGCCCAAACCATAGCTCCTACCCCACCTCCAGTAGAAAGAGGCTTTCCCTGTTTTCCCAGAGGGTTCTGCCTCTCCTCAGCCCCTCTCCAAGGAATTGCAGAGGGAGGGCTGAAAAGGTTGCCTTTTCCGTGGACCAGTCACAGGTCTCATGGCTGGAGGCAGTGTCAAGCCTATGCCCATGCTTCCCACCCATGGGTAGACTAGGGAAGATGGAGTCTTATCCCTGGTCCCAGGGGCTGCCCCAGGAGTCTACATGCCAACATTCCACTTCCTGGGGAGGCTACACCTTGCTGTTGGGGGCCTGTGGGGGGAAGATGGGGTTCAGGAGCTGTCCAGGGTCTGAGTCTGATCTGATCTCCAGCAAGGTGGAGACATCACGCATTGTCTGGGTGTACACTCAGCGATCTGGCGGGGGTGGAGGCAAGGAGGAGGAAGGGCCCTCCCCACCCCTCCAGCTCCCCCTCCCCCTCAAACTCCCCCTCCTTTTCCAGGCCGAGATATAAGCCCCGCAGGGAAGGCGCTGAGCAGAGGAAGAGGCCACAGCCCGACCTGCAGCAGTCCAGCCCTTGGGACTCCTTTTGCCGGCCACTTGCTCATCTCTGCTTCCGGAGCTATCGCCGTGAGTAGCCTGGGAATGGTCTGGTGCGGGGGATCCCGGGCTATTTGGTGGAGAAACTGAGGCTGGGATGGTGAAAATTGGGGCTGAGAGGCCAGCATAGCCCTCTGCCTCCAGCTACCGTTCTGGGCAGTATGAGTGGGAGTTGGGGAGACTGGCAGGGCTTCTGCCTCTCTGAAATATAGGGAAACCGAGGCAGAGGCAGTGCAGTGCCTGAGAACACACAGCGAGCGGGTGGCTGAGCCTTGGTCCGGCAGTGGCCCTACACAGGCCGGGGAGCGTGGGCCCGACGGCAGCCTCAGCCTCCCGCAGTCAGGTGTCGAGGCCGGGGATGACCCACGATCCCTGCCCCTGCTCCAGATGGTGACGGTGCGCAGGCCGTGGCCCGCGGTGGCCACAGTGCTGCTGGCCCTGCTCGCCTGCCTGGGGGCGCTGGTCCACGCTTACCCCTCCAAACCCGAGGCTCCCGGCGAAGACGCCTCGCCCGAGGAGCTGAGCCGCTACTACGCGTCGCTGCGCCACTACCTCAACCTGGTCACTCGGCAGCGGTGAGTGGGCGGTGCGCGGGGTCCCGGGGGCTACGGCCCTCCGCCCGGGGGCGTGCCCGTGTCTGACCCCGCCCCCTCTGGACCCGCCCCCAGGTATGGGAAACGCGACAGCCCCGAGGCGGTCCTCGCGAAACTGCTCTTCCCCGACGACGAGGACCGCCGGGTCAAGACACGGTAAAAGGGTCTCCCCGCCACCCTCCCCCCCGACACACATCCTGTCCCCCAGTGCTTGGTCTGGGATGCGCGGCCCCACGGAAACACCTAGCGCGTTCCCCCAATCTAGCCTCCCCAGATCCGAGGTGGTCTCTGAGCGATTCCTTTCCGTTCCTTCCTACAGGCCAGAAGGCCCGTACATGTGGTGATGACCCCAAGGGCTCCTGGGAGATATGCTAACTACACCGACCTCATCTGCATGGTTGCTCCCGATCCTGGAACCTGGGTTCCTCTCCCTGCCTGCTGCGCCTGGGGGGTGGGTGCGGGATGGGGGTCTTCATTCCATTTCTCCGTGTCCTCAGCCCCTGGGCTGGAGGGCTGTGTGTGGTCTTTTCCTGCTCCCCAAATAAAGAGCAAATTTCACTGAAACAGAATGTGTGCCTTTGTATTTCTTTTCCCTTCTCCCTCTTGGAGGTGGCATCCGGAGGGAGCGGAGGGTGGAGGCACCAGTCAGGAGAAGACGGGGCACCGCAGACAAAAGCCTCCCCAGGACAAGGCTGGGGCATAATGGGGGGTGCTTTCTGCTCTGAGCTAAGAGAAGACCCTTTGGCCCAGCAGGGGCAAGGAGGATGGAGCCCAAGCAAGGGACTTTTTTTTTTTTTTTAAAGATATTTTATTTATTTATTTGACAGACAGAGATCACAAGCAGGCAGAGAGGCAGGCAGAGAGAGGAGGAAGCAGGCCCCCAGCTGAGCAGAGAGCCTGATGCGGGGCTCGATCCCAGGACCCTGAGATCATAACCTGAGCCAAAGGCAGAGGCTTAACCCACTGAGCCACCCAGGCGCCCCCAAGCAAGGGACTTCTGTGGCACTCTCCAGTGGGGCAGGATGAAAGTTCTTGACCAGGGGCAGGGAGGAGCAGGAAAAATAATTGCGAGAGAATGGGGAGGGTGGAAAGGAGCTTGCTAGGCAGCCTAGGAGAGCAGATGGAGACAAAGGTGCAGGTGGCTGGGGGTGTGGGCTAGGCACCCGTCCCTCAGAGCAGTTACCCTAGCCTCCAGGGCTGTTGTGGCTGGGAGTAGAGATGGGATCCAAGATGGGACTGTGGAGGAAGTCATTTGGGAGGGGGGTGAGGTGGGTGTACGTGTGCTGGGGGAGGGGTCATTTCTATCGTCCCCTTTTCCCTGGGCAGGAGGTGTGATGTGAGTGTAGAGGCTGCCCTTTCCCTTAGCAACTGCCCTCCCCCACATTGCTAAATTCCCACTCCATGGATAAGGCACTCATTGTGCCTTCCTGGTGACAAGGGACAACCCCCTCCCCCGTGCACCCCTACCACAATTCCCTTGACTAGACGCTGAAGGCTGACGGCGCTGTGGATGTTTAAACTGGAGTCTGATCCAAATTTCTCACCACTCAATGTGGAGGAATCCCAGAGCCTTCCTGCAGGCTCATCTTCCCTGATACCCTTCCTTCCCAACACCTTTCCTCCAGGAAGCCTGCCTTGATTGTCCCTGCTCTGCACTCTTCCTGACCTCTGTGGCAGCCCGGCTCTCATGGCCACTGCTCTGTTGTGTCCATGTTGCTGTGCCTGGTCTCCCTTCTAAGTCTGAGGAACCCCTAAAGGAGGGGCCCATGTCTCCCCACTCAGACACAGCCTCCTCAGTCTGTAGGCTCTTGCCCGGGCCTCCAGGTCATAGGACACGCACAAGCCACAAGGTGGGGAGCTGGGCAATGAGAAGGAGAATCAGGCTGAAGCCAAAGGCACAGATCCAGAGTGGGGTGGCCGGTCAGGGAGGTTGGTGTGGCACATCGGAGAGTAGGAGTCTCTTAGGACTGTTTGCAGTTAGATGGCTATGGAGGAAGAGAAGATCCTAAAGCGGGCTCTGTTGTAGCTGCTCTGACACCATCTGCCCTAGGAGGCCTGGGGCTCCGACTCCTATCCTTTCCTGTGCTGCCTGCCTTTGAAGGTAGGGCAGGAATGGGTGGAAGGGAGGCAGGTCCGGGGCCTGGCACACATCACAAACTATGTGGACTCTGACGCTCGACGCCTTTGTCCAGACCACTCCCTTGCCTGCGGAGCCCTTTTGCTCCATTCCAGTCTGGAAAACATCTTCAGGATAGTGTCCACCTCTTCCCAGAAGCCTCTCCTGATTTCTCAGGGTAGCGTTAGTTTCTCTGGTTCTCCCTTCTCTATTATTGTTATCTGAGATCTACCCCCTGTGTCATTCTGCCCCTTCTCTCCTCCAATCCCACTCCCTCTGCACCAGGAGAGGAGGGGTGGGAACCTACAGTGGCTGCCATGAGCTTTGGCTCATTTTATGGTCAGAGCAGTGGGACTGCATGTGCCAGTGCTCGTGTCCCTGGCCCCCTGTCTGGTGGTCTGCCTGGGAGGACTTGGTCAGTTTGAGGCTGATGGAAGAGACCCCTGGTATGAATTATGCATGACCACAGACAATTTCAGTTTGGCCTGTCTGGTTGGCCATCACCGACCTGGGTTCACCTCCCATTCACTTGGAGGAGGGCTGAGCCTGTGGTTTATCCACGGACAACAGGACTCAACCAGCCTTGCCCCTGTAGGAGCCTTAGATGGGATATTAATGGTGATAACAGGTACCTTTTGAAAGAAGCACTTACTTACGTGCTAGACACTGAGCTATTTGTTTTACACACACCTTATTGCTAGAATATTGATTTGGCTTTTTAAATAGAGGCAGAATTAGCAGTGGCTTAAACAAGACAGCAATTTATTTCTCTTTTATTTAAAATTCAAGTGGCATCTGGGGGAGTCAGCAGCTCTGTTCCAGGAGGACATCCAAAAGCCCAGGGTCCTATTTTGTGGCATCTCCTTGTCCTCCTCTGCATGACTGAAGATGACCCACCATCACCACCTTCGTGTTCCAGTCCCAGGGAAGGGAGGGACCGGGGAAGGGCAGGTGCGCTGGGTACTATGCTGATTCACATCTACCTGAAGACTTAGCAGCGTCCACCAACCACTTCATATCAATCATGATTTTGTTGGTCAGGATTGCAAAGGGCTCAACTAGGCCCCTGTCCCTTGGAGTCTTTCATGCAGTGACAGGTTGGCTGGGGCTGGGATCATCAGAGGGCACCCCCTGGGTTGATGCCAAAGAAGGCTCACTCACATTGTCTGATGGGTACTGCGGGGAGCTCCACTGGGTCTCTTGACCCAGCAACTCCATGTGGGGGTCCCTCCCACGCCATATTCTTGGGGTAGCTGGATACGCATGGTACCTGGCTCCCCCCCCACTTCGCCCAGAGTGAGGGTTCCGGGAGAAGCAGGAAGAAGCAGGGCGCCCTTGGCTTCCTGGGGCTACTGTAACAGAGCACCACAAGCCCAGAGGTTTAACAGCAGTTCTGGGGGCTAAAGTCTGAAGTCCAGGGGTCCTCGGTGTTGCTGCCTTCTGAGGGCTGTGAGGGAAGGGGCTGTTCCAGGCCTGTCTCCTTGACTCACAGACAGCTTCCTTCTCAGCATGACTGTTTCTGTGTCCAAATACCCCTTTGACTTAAACACAGCAGTCATATTGTGTAAGGGGTCTACTCTCCTTCAGTGTGACCTCATCTTAATTAGCGACATCTGCAATGACTCTATTGCCAGATAAGGCTGGATCCTGAGGTACTGGGGGTTAGGATTTCAACACACGAATTTGGCCGGGGGGAGGGGGGGGATACCATTCAACTCCTAACAGCTCCCTTCTATGACCTGGCCTCACAAGCTAACAAGTCATCTTCCAACACACTCTATTGGTCAAGCAGTCACAGGTCAACCTGCATTCGAGAAGAGGGGACACGGGCCCCGTTGTAGAACTACACGTGGGAGAGGAGTTGCTCTGGCAACTCTTTTGTGGCCATCTTGCGACCACCGGCCTCAGGACCACACCACCATTACTAGAACCAGAGAGGTGCCAAGGCACTTAAACACTCATCTCATTGGCTAGAACTTAGTCACGTGGCCCCACCTCATTGGCTAGAACTAGTCACGCGGTCCCACTTCATTGGCTAGTACTTAGTCACGTGGCTCTAACTTGTGGCCAGAACAACCCGGGAGCTGCCTTTAGCTGAGTGTGCAAGGGCTATTCTCAGGCTCTTCTTTCATGATGGAGGGAGGAGAGAGAGGGTACTGGGACAATGCACGGTGTCCGTTACAAACACGATCTCCGTTGAACAGCCTGAATCTGAGCTCTCACGCAGACCCACGCCCAGGAGTCCGGTGGTGGGCAGTGGTGGGGGTAGGGGGCGGGGGGCGGTGTGACCTCAGAGACCAAAGATCTGGATTCCAGTCCTGTCTGCCGATAGTCAGCCATGTGATTCTGGCCAAGTCATTCCATTTTGCTGCCTCTATGTCTTCACTGGTTACGCATGGAAGCTTATACCTTAAATAATAATGGTAAGGGTTCACTGCTTAGGCTCAGAGAGCTTATGTCCTCTGCCGAAGGTCACACAGCTGGTGAGTGGTAGAGCTAGTGAGGAAAACAGCTGAATCTACAGCCTGACATATGCTTATTTTTTTAAAAATATTATTTATTTATTTATTTGAGAGAGAGAGTGAGCAAGAGAGAGCACAAGCAGGTGGAGGGGCAGACTCCTCGCTGAGCAAGGAGCCCTGTGTGAGACTCAATCCCAGGACCCTGGGATCATCACCTGAGCCCAGGGCGGATGTTTAAACTGACTGAGCCCCCCCAGGGCGGCCTTGGCATGTGCTTATTAGCACCCCCTCTTTTCCTTTACTCTCCTACTCATTTGTAACCCTTCTCAGAACTGCTCTGGCTACTCTCCCTTCCAATATCCTAAGGGAAAAATTCCCCTCCTTCCACACCCAGACCCTCTTTTTAGGAAAAATCTGGGCTGACGATGATACAATTTGCTTTTGCAGGCGTTGTGGGCAGGGAGGGAAAATTACTGAACACTGTGATGCCTGCAGGGTTCCTGGGTGCAGAGGGAGTCTCCCGGAGAGGGAGAAGCGGGGACAGAGTCCAATCTCCAAATGGGTGACCTGAGTCCCCAGTCAGGCCTGAGTTGATTTGGAGGGAGTGGGATGGGGGGCTCAACTCGTGTGTGTGTGTGAGACAGCTGTCCTCAGCCTAAGGGTTTCTCCAGCAAATAGGGGACCCCCTGGGTTCCTGACATCCAGGTGCAGCCACCTGTCCCCACCTCTGTTGCTGCCACCCAGTGCAGGAATAAGACATGGTCCTAAGAACTGGGCCAGGCTGCTCTGGAGGCACTCTTGGGAGAAGGGGGGAACAGAGGATGCAATGCTGGCCATATTCCTGCCCCGCAGTTCCGTATATGGGACCCCACTCCACTTGCTAGAGCACACTCGGCCTCCCCCTGTCTGTTGCTCCTAGTTTCACTGAAGACCTCACTCCATCCCTAATGGGGCCCATTGGCCATCCTCCTTGTCTTAGAAGGCATGGGGCTGGGCGGGTGAGAAGGGACTTTTCCATTTCATTTGGTCTGCCTGCAGGTAAGTGCTTGGTGCCTTCTCTAAGCAGGGCTCCAGGGCAAGCCCTCGGAACATATGCAGATGAGTGAGAAACATCACCCTTTTCTGGATCTAGCCATACAGTTCTGAAAACACACCCACTACCTTTCCCTCTTCCTTTGTCCTAACATCCCTGAGAGGACCTGGAAGGGGAATCTGTTGTTTGCAAAGGAGAAAAATGAAAGCTATAGGTTCAGTTGACATCGTGGAATACAAGTCATTTCTTAGGCACAAGACAAAACTATAACTGGCCCCAGCACTCTAGTCAGTCCGCAGATCTGCCATCTGTCTGCAGGGACTCCATTCCAACATAGGTAGTGGCCGGAACAGGTCCCAGCAGGCTGTAATCTTGCAGGCGGCCAGACCTTCCGAACTAAGATTGGGCCCTGGCGCCCCCTGGTGGCACAATGCAGCTGCTGTGGCCCCATCACCTCTGTTTTGCAAAGTGGGCACCAAGTCCCGGGCTTGCGGGGACAGACCAATTATTTATGTATTTGAGAGAAAGAGAGGACAAGCAGATTCCCCGCTGAGCAGTGAGCCCAATGTGGGACTCCATCCCAGGACCCTGGGATCGTGATCTGAGCCCAAGGCAAACGCTTCACCGACTGAGCCACGCAGGTGTTTCTCTATATTTGTTTTTAAGCTGTTGTCTGGTGAAGCATTATTGTTCTTCTTGTTACCAGAAACCAGAATTGAGCAGAACAGACATTTACTAACACTTTCTTTATCCTCACTATCTGGAGGAAAATCAAAGCTCAGAGAGGCTAATGGAATTATTTTCCAGGGTGCCACAGAGCCAAGGGCAAAGCCAGGATTTGGACACTAAGCCCGATATGCCAGATCCCTGGGGTAACACCTCCGGCTGTCACACCCTCTACGACCTCCTGTAACACACACACTTTTGGTGTCTTGATCTGGGACAGCAGGACCTCAGGGGTAAGAGGTCCTGTGCTCCCTACTCAGGCTTCAGTGTATCATTTAGATACATTGTTACTGCTGCTTGGCCTGAGCTGGAAAGGGGTTGGGGGCTGAGGAAGGGGCGCTGAGCTGGGCAGACTCACAGGCTCGTGGGGGTGGAGGCGAGGCGGCACCGTTGGGATGGTGGGCTTGGGATTCCAAGCCAGAATTTAAGTCCTAGGTGTCTGTGTGGTCTTGGGCAAGTCTCTTCGCCTCTGTGAGCCTCACCTTGCTCAGCCAAAAAATGGGAAATTAGAGCAATACTTTGACAGCCTCACTTAGGAAAAAAGAGTCCAGATTTTGGAATTAGACTTTGTGTTAAACTCTGGATTTCCCACTGACTAGTTATGTGGCCTGGAGTTAGTTACTTAAAGTCTCTGAGTCAGTTTCTGAATCTGTAAGATGGGTCATTGCAGGCACCCAGTGAGATGACTGAGCGAGGGGCACACTGGAAAGTTCAAGGCTTTATGATGCTGGTTTATCACTGCCTTGGAAAGGAGCTCTGGGAAATGGCTCTCGCACCCGCTCCCGCCACTCCAGTTCCCCTGATTCCAGGCACATGGGTTCTCATTCTGCACCCCACACACCAGCCGGGTCTCTCTGTGCCTGGGTCACCACTCCTTCCCCCATTGCCTAGTTACCTAAGGCATCTCCCCCCCAGCTTCCCTGTTCCCACTTCGTTCTAGTCACAACCTGGAAAGGAAGTCCTGACTCTCCATCCTGGAGTCTGGAGCCCCAGCCTTGATCTTATGATTCCCGTTAATCCCTGGGAGGCAGGAGGGGCTGTTCTGAGGCCTGGGACCAGAACCTTTCAGTCATCCTGAGGTCTTAGACCCCCATTCTTCTTGAACCAAGCCTGCTTTGGCGCCCAAAGGTGGTTGGGGGCCCACAGGAGACCTACTTTGGCCCACTTTTACCTGTTATGCTGCAGCCCTGTCCCCCTCCCGGCCCTGGCCCCAGGGCTGGTGTTCTGTGGATACCAGGGAGACGTGGGAGGAGGGGGTGAGCTGCGGAGAGAGGCTGACAGGAGGCGGGGACTCTGAGGGGCTGAGGACTATAAAGGGGCACGGGGGAGGGCAGGGACACCCATCTGGCCCTCAGGACTCAAGGTAAGTGGTCCTAGTCTGGAGGGGACTGGGAGGCCAGGCTCTGGGGAGTCCTTGGGATTAGGGGCCTGGGGTGTGGGAAGGAGCTTTGCAGAGCAGGGGGGTGGTATTGGGAGGTCTGGGGTCCTGCTTGGGTTCGGCTCTACATCTGGACAGATGGATGACCCTGGCAGAGCAGTCTGTGGACTAGAAGACTGAAGACGTGTGCGGGGAGTGCGTGGTGGCCGCGCACACAAATGTGACCGTGGCCTTGTGAGTGGCAGGGTCCGAGGGTGCGCCCGTGCCTGTTGGCTGAGGGCGATGCAGGCAACAGTGTCTTCTCCAGGACCTGTCCCTGAATCCTGGCGGTGGTTGCAGGGGGGCAGACCCACAGGTCCTGGTTTTCTGTCCTTTGATTCACAAGTTCATTCTGTGCGCTCCCACCCCGTTGGGGCGCTGGAGCACGTCTTCACCCCACCCCGAATCCGAGTCCTCAGAGCCACCAGGCCCTGGATGTCATGAGTCCTGGCTCTCCTGTCCCAGATCCCCACCCTCTCTGCTATGTTTTTGACTTTGCCGAAGGCCTTGGTGCAGACTCGGCTGCCGGGCGGCTCAGGCTCATGACCTGGGCTGTCCGCGCTCTCTAGGGCACATCTGGGAGGTTGGGCACAGAGGACCGAGTAGCCCTTTGCTCAGCCCCTTTGTTCCCAGGCTTGGAGAAATGGGTGATGGGTGAAGGGGTTGGGCAGATGGGCTCCATTCTGCCTCTACCTTCCCTCTCCCCACTCCTCAGATGCCTGCTGCCCACCGCTACCTCTCCCTGCTGCTCCTGTCTGCCTGTGCGGCTCTGCTGCTGCAGCCACGGCTTGGGGCCCAGGCAGCCCCGCTGGAGCCAGTGTACCCCGGGGACAATGCTACACCAGAGCAGATGGCCCAGTATGCAGCTGAGCTCCGCAGATACATCAACATGCTGACCAGGCCCAGGTGCGTGCGAGGGTGGGTGGGAGGGAGAGATCCCAGTCCCTGCGGCCGTGGGCCATGACCCCTGCCCCTTCCATGCTCCTGGGAAAGCAGAGCACCTCTACTGACTAGGCCTGGAGCCCTGGGCCCTAGGGGAGAGGCAGAAGGTGTGCAAGGGTGGGTATGAGGCAGGTGAGCTGGCATGTGGGTACAGGGCTTGCCCCAGCTGCCTCTCCCCTCCCAGGTATGGGAAAAGAGACAGAGAAGAAACACTGGACATCCTGGAGTGGGGCTCCCCCCATGCTGCTGGCCCCAGGTGGGTTTGCTTCCCTGCTCTGTGTGCCTAGATTCCTGGGGCTGAAATGGGTGTGTGGGGAGGGGAGAACAAGGTCCCCAGGGCTGGCCTGGGGTCTCCAGAGGGTGCGAGGACTGTCCCCTCTCGCTGCCATGTTCTGCCGTCTCCTCACAGGAATCTCAGCCCAATGGACTTGTGATGCCACCTCCTGCCTTCTTTGACTCCAAGAGCAATGCTGGACAACCTCCCCCCTTGGCACCCTTGGCAATGGTCAAAGCTTGCTCCCTGCCCCCACACAGACTAAATAAAGCAAATCAAAGTCAAGCTTCTCTGTGTCTCTGTGGACCCCTGGTGGGGGCAGCCGTGGGCCACATGCTCCGGAGAGACAGAGAGACGGGGGGTGGGGGGAGGCACAGGAGGGAAAGGAGGGTACTGTCAGGGATCCAGAGGGGCTTCGGGGTATGTAGGGTCGGCAGGGCCATTCAGCTCAAGCTCTCGGGCTCCACAGAGGGGCAGGCCCAGAGGGAGGTAGGGGCTCCTCCACGGCCATTCAGCGGGTCAGTGAGATTTGACTCTTCCCATTTCAGCACTTCTAGATCTTTCTGATCAACAGCTTGACGATAGCCCTGCCCCAAAGGCATCCCCACCAATGCTTTCCTACACCTAGGCACCAGGCCAATTATGAACGTATATTGAAGTGTCCTTGGCATGGAGCCAGGGGCAAAGACGCAGGCCGGAGGAATGACTGGTGGCCTCAAGTCACCAGCTGCCCTCCTCCGGGCAGATCAGAGGTGGCTCACTGCGCATGTTCAGTAGGACCACAGCTGTCCGGGGGCCCGGGGCCCAGCAGAAGCACGGCCAGCACAGGGGGACTGTCACGGGGCAGGGCCTGGGGCCCTGTGCAGACTGTTGGGAAAAGGAGCCTACTGTGTGCCAGGAGCGGGCAACCCTCCCAACCACCCAGTGAGGGAGATACTGTGTTCTTCCATCTGCAGAGGCCGAGGCTCGGGGCGGAGCTGCAGCTTGTCCCAGGCCTGGCATAGACAGCAAGCTAGTCCAAGCCCACAAACCCGCTGTAGAATTGGAGGAACTCGGCTCTGAACCCAGGATCTGCCCCGCTCTGTCTGTGTGTCTGTCTGTGCGCTACCACCTCTCCGAGACTCACATTCCTCATCTATAAAGAGGGAAGGATGATAGGGTTGCAGTGGGCGAGACAAGAAATAACACGCATGAAACATTGAGTGTGCGGGGCGCCTGGTGGCCTGGTTGGTTAAGCCTCCGACTCCTGATTTTAGCTCAGGTGGTGATGTCAGGGTCCTGGGACCCAGCGCCATGTGGGGTGTCTGGCTCCACACTCAGGGCGAGAGTCTGGTTGACATTCTCTCTCTCTGCTCCTCCCCCCCAATCACACACACTCTCTCTACAATAAACATGTACAAATTTAAAAAACAAAAACAAAACAAAACCAAACAACCCGGTGTTTGCAGCTGGAGGAAGCAAAAACTCTGAGAATCCCTTGAACAATTAATTCCTCTTTCACAAGTGAACCCATGGATGTCCTATTATGATCTCTGTGTGGGCCGATATCCTCTAGCATTGATTTGCTGGAAATCCGAATTTCAGTCAAATAGATGCAATTACTTTTAAAAAGAAACAAGGAAAGAAACACTGAGCATGGTCCGTTGACCCACATGAAGGCCCAGGAAATGGGAATTTCTCAGGGGCAGACGGGGCCCCCCCGCCAACCAGCTGTCGCCATGACACCTGCTAGAAAGAGTGGCCAAGGGGCTCCAGGATGGGGCTCTGGAAGGCAGACTTTCCAGGACTACAAGGAAGCATCTTTGAAGAACCAGGAACTTAGAGAGAATGGCTCCTGAGAGGTAGTGGAGGCCTGGAGGGTAGGAGCTGCAGGCGGGGAGAGTGAAACCAGGCCCTAAAAGGCACAGGGCTGGAGAGGATCCAACCTTACCAGGCAAATGCATGGGCTCAGGGCAATTCTCAAACCCAAGGGAGTGGCTGGGAGGGGGTCCCGGTTTCAGCCGAACAAAGTTTGAGTTTGGATGATGGATGCGGAAGTCCCAGAATTTTCTCTGGCCGCTAAGGGGATAGGCTCTGAGTAGGGAGAGAGGTAGACACTTCCCAGGGCAGGAGTTAGGGTCCTGCTCAGGACATACTTGTGTGTGAGAGGTGGCTCGCAAGAGGTGCCTGTCTCCCTGCCCCCCTGCCCACCTTCTGACGGTCACCAGCCCCTCTGCCCCTCTGAGAGTGCACCCCCTCACACCCAGCTTCTCAGGGACAGGCCTCAGCGGGGCTCATTGCCAGATGGGCCCAGATGGTCCTGGAGGTCAAGGCAGGACTTCTTCATCCTGAGGGGCAGGCAGAGGCCCTCCTGCTCATTCCTGGGCCCACACGGGACATCCGGGCTAGCCTCAGAGCTGCTCCGCTCTGTGGAGACACTCGTGCGGGAGAGGATCCTGGCTGAAGCCGCTCCTTTGAGGTTGCTGGGACCTGCTCCTCTTCCCTCTGCTGGCCCCCTAGTTAGAGCGCCCCCTCCCCAGGGGTGATCATGGGGAAGTAGGGGGCAGATGGATGGGCTGCAGGGAGGAAGTAGGACAGACCTGCAGGGGTGGTCTTCTTCTCTCGCAGTAAGAACTCCAGGGCCCTCTCTCCCTTGAAGGACGTGTCCCCTCCTGCCTAGGGCCCACAGAAGTCACCTAGCAGTAGAGCTGTTTCTCTTTATTGTTCTGCGCCGGTGGGGGGGGGGTATATGATGAAGGAGGTGGGTAGGTAGGAGTTAAGGCTCCTCTCAGAATACAAAGGGGGTCACTGGGCCAGGGGACTTGAGTCAGGCATCTGAGGTCAGGGCCCTGCCTGGAGAAGGAAGTCCCTGGGAGCGCCCACCCTCCGGGGGGGCTTCCTCTAGTTCCTCTCGTTCCAGCTCAAAGTGCTCCCCCCCCCCCCCCCCCCCCCGGTTCTGTGGCTCTAGATCGGTGACCGCCTGCCCAGGCTCTCCTACCTGGGGCCCTGGGAGGAGGGCGGCGGTTGGGGTTTCCCGGTGCTCTGTTAGGGGTGTTTCCCGGTGTTTGCTGGTGGGGTTTGTGTGGCGTTCGCGGCTTTCTTGGGGTTTTTAACGTTTTTCGATTTCTTGGTGTCCTTAGATTTCAAGCTGGGGAACACGTCTTTGCACAGATCATGGGGCAGGGAGGGCGGTGGGTGGGGTGCCCGGTGATGTCCCCTTTCTCCCCCATCCCCCTGCGCGTTCTCCCTCTCTCCCTCCCTCCCTCTCGCTCCCCCCCCCCCCCCCCCCCGCTGTTGAAGAGCTTCTCTAGGTACTTGTTGAAGTGGGCGAAGCTGGCCATCCAGTCGGCGGCGCGGGGCCCGGGAGTCTCCGGCTCTTGCAGCTCCTCCCCCAGGGCTCCCGGGGGCGGCGCCAGCAGCAGCACCAGGCACACCAGAGCCAGTGCGCACGCGCAGCGCAGAGCCGGCGCCTGGGGAGGGGGTGGGGAAGCAGACAGAGCCGCCGGGTGTCACGTGACGCCCACCGCGGACTCGGGGCTAGACGGACTCCGCGAAGCGTCTGTCTGCCGGACGCACGCAGGTGCTCAAGGCCGGACTGGACATCCCGGTGCCCAGGCCGAAAGATGCGCCCCTGGCCGTGCGCCGTGACGCACCCACGCACGAAGCCCCCACGGCGTGGTGGGGATGGACCGGGAGACACACTCTCGGTTGGACCCACGGGGGCTGCGTGGAGCCACCGGTCAGCTTCCTAACCCCATCGACCTCTTCCGCTACTCCTTGCTCACCCCACTCCAGCCTCGCCCGCCTCCTCGCTGTTGCTCCTGCTATTCTCTTGCCTGGAAGACTTCCTCCAGTCCCACCTCGTCCAGGGATCAGCTCAAACGCCACTTCCTAAATGGGTCCTACCCTGACCCCTACTTAGAATTGCAGCCCAGCCCTCGATCTGGTGCCTTCCCCTTATGTGTCACTTCTAACTTACTATATATTCAATGCTTGTTAAAAATTGTCATTTCTCCCAAGAGGCACGTCCCTCTTCCCCCATTTGTGAGCACCATTACAGCCGGACTTTACCTATTCTGCTCACTGATTTGCACAAACATCTGGAGCAGTGCCCGACACTTCGCAGGTGCTCCATTCCATTTTAAATGAAGGACTAACACAGCTGCATAGGGGAATGCCAGCCTAGGGATCCCCATGTGCGCACCCAGCTGAGCACGGAGAATTTTATGCTGATTTCACGCAGGCGCATCCCGTGATTCACATACTCTGATGCCTGTACATGTGATCCACACCCTCCAGAGCCCCTGGGACCCTCAACTCTCTCTTGACCAGGAAAGCCCCTCACCCCCACCACCCAAAGCAGGGACAGGAAACCCCCGCAGCTGTCCTGGCCATCAGATTGGCAGAGGGAGCGACCCTGGTCTCACTCATTCGTGCCCTTAATGCCCCGGGGAGGGGACCTCGGTGGCAGCCTCCATCCCCAAACTCCTGGAGAGCAGAACTGACAGGGGTCCCAAACTCAGCCATGAGACATTACCATGGTGCTGGGTGGGCGCAGAGCAGCACAGCAGAAGGGTATCCTACATGGACCACCGAGGCCCTTTATAAACCTTTAGCTCCATGCCCCTTTCCCACAAAGGCTCCACGCCCAGCTTGCCGCCTCCTGCCCCTGTGTCATCACCTGGGAGTTGGGAACAGAGAGAAAGTGGGGGTGGAAGCACACGGGCTGCCGGCTGTTCTGATCTGGGCACAGGTCGTGCCAGGGGGCCCAGAGGTGTGGGTGGCAGAGGCAGGAAGCCCTGGGGAGTTGGGGTCACCTTTTGCCTCAAGTCTACAGATCCCAGGGAGGAACTGTCTCTGGGGTTGAGAGGGGACTCTGGTTTGCCCAGGGACTGTTTTGGGGTTAGGAGGGGACTAGGCTGAGAGATGAGGTACCCCTTCCCTCCTAGCTGGGGGCTCAGCACCCCTACTCCTGGCTTCCAGGCCTGCTGGCAGGGGCATGGGTGAGGCTAAGCTTTTTGCCTTAGGACTGCAGGCCCTACTGCTCATTCTGGAGATTTTTGCCGCCTGCCTAGCTACTTTGGAGACCCTGATGGGAGACGTGCAGAGCTTTCTCAAGTGTGGTGGGTCTCATGTGTCTGAATGATGAACTCAGGGCTTGGGCTGCTTCAGGTTACAGCG